CGTTGATAAGTGAATGTTACTCTGTGGCAATGAAACGGAAGGCTACGTAGTTGTTGATTCTTCTTTTTAAAATACTAAGGGGCTCCTGGTGGATGGCATCGAAGCGGAAATCATTGCCGCGCCGTCAATTTCATAAAAAATGGTTCTACATATGGGTCATCAGTCATGAAACAGTAAGGAAGGATGATGAGCAACCGCATCCAAGGAAGTACCGTAGTCTGATAACGTTTGATTATCGTGATCATGTCAATGTTAACCGGTTCGGAGTTCATGCCAGGTCGATTACCGGGTGAAATGAACTCGATTGTACTTTGCCCCAGCATGCGATCCCTGAAGTAGATCCTTGCCCGCTGTTGAAAACGCGTAATTTTCTTCGTAGACGCTCATTATTGAGCTTCCCTCTATGCTGTTTTTGCGAAGAAAGATTTTTTCCTCTCGATGTAGTTGTCACGATGACAAGTTTCTTCATATTTCTACTTTAAAGTGGCTTTCTCAAGACCAGGAGCTCATAACGTTATAATGATTGCAAAAGGTTCATTGAACAACTTGACTATGCATTCATTCATTTTTGTAGCCCGTTAATCAAAAATATGTATATGCTGAGCTGTAATATAATATAGGTACTCTTTCTTAATATATTTTATGCGTGTTTCTGAGCTGCTGATTATTGCGTCATGTGAATAGCTTATGTAAATAGGCTTTAATATTTATATTAGAACATGCTGCTGCCGTATAGCTGCAGTTATATATCTGTTATTGTATGCGAGACGTATATATTAGTATGCTGTAATGAAGAACGCGTTTGCTCTCTTTTGCAGTATTTCTTCACTGACCGAGATGGCACATTGAAGAGCTATGCGTGCAGCTACCCGAGTAGCATTCAGCCTGCGTACAGTGCTGTCATCCAAGGAACGTTCGCACATCGTTGTGCCCAGTACGCCGCCATCTTGACCTCTGCTCCGCTGCTGAACATTGGCCTATTGGACGTGTTCGTACTTCCAGATGGATACTTCAGCTACGGTGCGTCCATCGGACGGGAGTGGTATGTGAATGCGACGAAAAAGTTCAAGGACAGTTCAATCAGTAAAACGGACCATCTTCTTCTCGACCTCGTGTCATCTCGAATCGAGAGGCTGTTCGACCAGAATCAGTTTCAACAATTCAAGTGGATTGGATCCGGCCTACAGAAACATTACGGTCACATCACAGTCGCCAGACAGGACTGTTACGGATCGATCGACGAATTAAAATCTCTTCAGTGGTATGAATACATTTTGCTTTTGTGAATAACTGTTTAAAATTAGTTTTTGCTGTATTTAATGTTTAATGAGGAAATGAATAATGTCATGTCGTAACCTATAATTTACTTTGAAAACAGGCAGAGACCTGTGCACGTTAATTTAGGGTTGAAAAAGTTGCTAATTTCGGCTTTAGCGTTCGCCCAAGAATTGAGAAAAGCTCTCTTACAAACTGCCTGAATACTTGCTTTGTGATTTTAATAATTGATAATTTGCATAAAGGTTTCTAAACATTTATAAAACTTTGTTTGTGAAGTACATGTATAACCTGCTTTATAGTGATATCTCTTCGGGGTAAAGTTTTGCTGTTTAACTTTCTAGAAACGAATTTTCCCGTTCTATTTCTTGAAATTATTTGATATATAATACTTATACATGTTTTTTAATTAAATAAATCAGCAGTGTTAATATTTACTGGCGAAGAC